ATTGCTTAGTGGCGAAGATGTCGTTTACTGCTGATTCAGCTTTATTAGCCCTAATGTGCGTCGTCACGAACTTGTTAGCCATTTCTTCAAATGTTTTCATGGAACAGGCTGGTAATTGTGAATACCATGTCAACGCCCCTCTAGTGAAGGTTTCGCCAAAGTTTTTCAGCAAGATGGAAGACACCTACTCTTTGGTCAGGTTGTTGACTTTCACAGCGGTAACATAGTGAGTCACATGATCTTCGGGGTAAGTCATCCCATCATAGATTCTGAGATATGTGGGCATCTTAAAGGTCTTTGGTATGGCATATGGGGTTGCTTCCTCGCTGTACGGATGTTCCACAAACCTGCCATTGTCCCTTTTTGGTAATAATTTACGGGCACCTGGTATTTTGTCTACCTGTTCTTGGTGCTCTTTCATATGGTCTTTGAGTGCCTTGTTCTCGTTTTCCATTTCCTCCGTTCTTTTCACTACAGCGGTGAAGTTCTTTTCACTACAGCGGTGAAGACGTTGTCACTTGCATTGTCAGTAATAGTATGAGTTTTACCTAGAGTCGGAGGGTCTGGTTGGTCATCCTATTCGTTCCCACGTTGTGCTGCACCGATTCCCGTTGTTTCTGTGGTCGTGCATGGAGCTTTTTTCCTGAGTACACTAACTAGAGTATCATTTAGCCATGCTTCGAGGAGCTTTTTCATAGCAGGTGGCGCCCCTTCTCCTGGCGACGTGGAGGCTCCTTTCTCATTTGGTTTTGTTGTGCTGCAGAAAGGGGCAAGTGACCTCTCTCTCCTAAGGGAGGCAGTGGGAGTCATTTCTTCGCCCTATGTGTCATAGCCTTCGTTGATGGCGTTCATGAGGTTAAGGGGAACGTTATCTGTTGTCCTTGTTCCGTTTCCTTGGTCACCTACTATGGAAGCTTTTGTACGCACAAAAAGAAGAGATAAACTTTGTGGCTGGTTAGATTAACAAGTCACGTGAGTTATGGATCTAATGGAAACTAAAATATTGGCTGAGAAGATCCACACAGACGGCGCCAAACTATTTGAGCCAAAATCTAGGTTTAACAATTAGATTTTCTAATAGAATAGAGTTAATCTTAGCCTATATTAATATTCAAAAGATTGTTTAATTGATTTTGTAACGAGATATCGCAAATACTATTCGAGTAGTAGTAAATAGCAACAGTAAAGCAATATTCAATGGCCCAAGAACAAAGAAGATAGCATTAAATAACGATAAATGATAATGGATGGCATTTATATAAATAAATACGAATGAGTCACCTGAAAAGGATGATGAGCCTTAGAATATTCAGATCCTCCTTAGATCATGGGAGAAAATATAGGGATAGATCTAAGGAAAAGGGTATATTTTGTATGTCAATAACAAAGCAAGAATATTCAGAGAATGTCTATGTGTTATTTTTTACAATGAGTGTCCAATCCCCTATACAATCCTTTCTCTTTCTATCTATAAGGGCACATGGTCCACAAAAATTCTAACTGTACAGATGGGAGGAATATTTCCGAGAATATTCTCTATAAGGTTTTATCTCTAAAACTAGCCGTTACTGCCTGCTAAAGGGCGTGCTTGTCCTCGTCCTTCTGCTGAGTCAACTCGACCTCACCTTCGTCCTTCGTCGGGTCACTTCAACCTCGCCTTCGTCCTCTGTTGAAAACACATCGATAACGCGTGGCAGCCTTCGAAGGCTCTCTTAGTGTTGACTTGTCCCACATATAATTATGATAATTTTTTAGCCCATACTGAACACATGTGCTTTAATCTTAGTTCATATGAGAGTTTTCATATGCAGAGTGTGTGCATAAACGCTATAAATAACCTAAATAATGTATATGAACATAAGAAATGTATATGCAATGACAAATGCATGTGAACAATATGAATACAACTAAAACAAGTAGGACATGATGTCAAAAATAGACATTTACGGTCAACAAGGTACCAAAATCCTAAAACATAGTGTCTAATATAAATAAGAGATTTCACGTAGTCACACAAGAATAACAAGTCATAATTAGCATGTGATGTAAATCGTCAGCAAGGTACCAAAATCCTAAAACATAGTTTCTAATATAGTTAAGAGAGTTCCCGTAGTCACACAAGAATAACAACAAGTCATAAGTAGCATGTGATGTAAATCCAAAGCATAAAGTAACCTAAGATCTACCTCGAGCATGAATAGCCCATGGCACTTGCATATAGCTCGCCACCACGCATATACAACGCACCCAATATATAGCAATTAATCAAACAACATTGATCTCCTAAGGTAGATTTCCTCAAGCAAAGTCTAGGCAAGATACTTACCTTTGAAAGCCAAATTAACCCTCTAACATCGCCTTTCTCATAGAAATCACCTCCAACCGGCTCAATTCGCATCAAATAATACTCAATAAGGTCAAATAAAATCATAGGAATCAATTCTAAATAATAAAGCTAATCAATTCCCAAAAAGTCAATAAAAGTCAACCTGGGCCCACATGATTTAAACCCGAGTTTGGGATTAGATTTAGTTTACCCATAACCCCACTAGTTCAAATTTATGCTTAATTTTCCATTTGGAGTCCATTTGTATACTCAAAATTAATTTGGATGATTCTAGCTCTAGGTCTTAAAAACCCTCAGTTTCTCTTTGTTCAAATCTATATTTTGATATTGAATCTAGCGATAAATTCATGCATAAACTATAAATTTAGGTTAAAATCACTTACCTCAAGCTTGTAGGTGAAACCCTAGCCCCACACTCTCAAAATAATCTCCAAAAATTAAAAAATAAAATAAAAATCATAAAACTCGTCCTTAAATAGCTCCAAAAAGTTTCTGTCAAAAATGTGCCCAGCTGCCCGCTAAACAAGTCTACGGGGCGCAAAAGTAGAATGTGGGCCACAGATCCATCGCAGTAACATTCAAGACTGCACTAACACCCTTTAGTAAAATGACCATTACTCCTATACAAAGTCGGGATGACGAACGATTTGAACCACCAGAAACTAGACTCAAAGGATACAATCTCATCAAAACATTATCATCTCAAAATTCTTATAGATTGAGAGAAATGCTCTTTTGATGTCATGTCATTTGCATAAAATTTCTGTTTCAGCAACTCAATTTTTTCGAAACATGCTCCAAATGCACCGAAACTCACTCAAGCCCCTAGGGACCCTATCTAATCATTCCTACAATTCTAAATACCCTATATAGACTTGTTCAAAGACTCATAATACCCACGAGAATCACAATAAAGAATCGAGACTCAAATCGAGTATAATTTCTCTTAAGTTCTTAAATCTTCATTCTTTCAAAAGAGTGTATCACACTTAGACAATTTGGATTACTTTCAAACTTTACACACAAGTTCAATTCACTATATAGACCTATCTAAAGTCTCAGAACACCAATCGGAGTTCAATAATATCAAGGACAACTCTTGGTCAAACTTATGAACTCTTAAGTTCTTCAAATTGCCAACTTTCAACAAATGGTGTTGAATCTTTCTAGGAATATCCAAAATTCAATCCGAACATATGTACAAGTCGAAAATTATTATACGAGCCTATTGGGACCTTTAAATCATCCATCCGAGATTGTTAATACAAAAATCAAACCTTGGTAAACTCTTACAACTTAAGGCTTCCAAAAATAGAAACTCAGTGTTCCAACTCAATCTGAACCCCACGAAAACCAAACCACCCATCCATGTAAGTTACATATCATCAAATTAACCTACGGGAAGCACCAAATAGGGGGACGAGGTCCTGATACTCAAACACGATCGGTCAGGTCGTTACAATTGGTCAGAAAAAATATTTTATTATTTTCGTTCATTTTAATTAATTTATTATCAAATAGATAACCATCAGGCCAATAGGGTTGGAGGGTCCACCATTGGATTGGATTGACTTTTTATTAACATCAAACAAAACAATTTAATCGATTTTAATTTATCAAAATTAAAATAAACCAATTTATAATACAAGTCTTTTGTCTCACAAGAGTCCTGGTTTATAATATTTCATGGGGCAGGCACAACGCAGATGCTCATTATTGTATTCTTGCCTGCTCGATCATCCATTTGTTTTTTTTAAAAAAAGAGAGAGAATCTTTCTTCCTCTTATTTTCTGGTGTTTTTTTTCCAAGGTAATATGATTTAAAAAATAAATTGTGCAGGAGAATCTCTCCAAGAAACGTGCGTGTTGAACTGTAAAGGTTGCTATTTTACGTAGCAGTTTTAGCTTTATCCAAAAGGATTATCTTTCATCAGATTAAAAAACAAAAAATAAAGGAAAAAATCCAACATTTCGGGGGCTTTTATAATACATAATTTCCACCTACAAAAGGGTTAAAGTGACTTGTCTCCACATCTTCCTTGGTTTCAACAAACCAATATTGTACTGTATTTTTTTCCAACATGAGCAGTGGTGCAGGCTGAAAAACTAATCAAGTTTTACGTCAAACAACCTCTCTATCCTCACAAGGTAGGGGTAAGGTCTGCGTACACACTATCCTCCCCAAACTCCACGGTGTGAGATAGAGGTGGCAAAATGGTTCAAAGAAAACAGTTAACCACCCATATTATCCACTAAAAAATGGGTTGGATAATGCACTTTTTAAAAACGGGTCAAATATATATAAGAACCATATTATCCGTTTAGAAAATGGATAACCAATGAGTAACCAATGGGTCTAACTTTTATATTTATAAAGCATCAAATTAGGAGTTCCTCAAGTTAGGGAGACTAAGAATTCTACCAAAAGTGATCATATACAAGAAGTCATAGATAATATGGGTTACCCATATTATCCGACAGTTAACCCGTTTTTTATCCGTATTAAATATGGGTCAGGTCGGATAATTGATCCTTTTTTCATTATCCATTTTCGACCCGAACCATATCCGACCCGACCCGACCAGCCCGTTTGTCACTCATAGTGTGGGATAATACTAGGTATGTTGTTGTTGTAGTATTTACATCAAACAATATAAATTAATCATGATTAAGTAATACATTGATGTAAAAAATAACATTAATTACAATTAGGTTCTCACTTGTTTTGTTGGTTCAGTAACTCAATGAAGTAGTACATATTTGAAAGACAAAAACAAGGAGTAATAACTGTACACAGAGGTTAATTTCATAAACTTGAAATCTAGTAAATTACTGCACAAGCTCCAAAAGACTCGTCCTACTGGCTGTGTCTCGCCTTTCTCAAAGTTTTAATCATACCCTTTGCAATTTTCCAAAACCAGACAATATTCAGCAGTGCCAAAACAGGAGGTACAGTTAACAAGCTATAGAAGCCCAGTGGATAAACTTTCTTGATCTGAAGAACAAAGTGTAAGAATGTATCGCTTTTCAAAAAAAAATAGGCCTTAAAACAGTACACATTGTGCAAATAGGTATTTACCTGATCAAAATGGGTAAGCATGTGATAGAAAAAGAAGAGAAACAAAACAATCCTCGCAACCTGAAAGCATCACATCAAAAAACCTCGGTTATAAAAATTGAAGTTTAAAAGCTAGCATCAGAAGTTTCTTGGCGACATAAGTTAACAATCAAAAGCTAAAAAAGAACCAAGTCAAATGAGAATAAGAAATACTAATAACAATTCAAGATTTTGCTTTCTCAAACATACAACTAACTTGAAATTTCCATCTATTTTCAAAATTCTTGATTAAAAGATTCATGATCCTATTAATCTTAACTTCAAAGATAATACTTAGTACTATAGTAAGTTTGTAATATTGCTTAAAACCCAGGTGGTTTCTGAAAATGAGGATATTTTGATCTATTAGTCACAAATATAATATTTTTGGATTTCCATCTACAAAAGTCGCTGAATTATTGTTTAAAACAAGATAATCATATCAAACAAACAAAGTGTGTAACTAACATCCTTGTAACATAAACAAGGAGCAAAAAACCTCAAGGCATATGTACTATCCATTTGCAAGGTCCAGGACAGCGTTGATCTTAGGAATTTTTAGCAACACAGACGCAGAACTAGTTGTTACACTTGAACAGAACATAAAAGAAGCAAATGTTCGAGATAGTTAGCCACACTTGTCTTGAGGACAAATCCAAAGTATCTTGTGCATAATAATATTCCTCCACCAAAAAAAGAAAAACAATTTGCCAATTTACGAGCAAAGATGTATACGTAAATTCAAAAAGATCATTTTTTTCTCATATTAATTTGTCCAAAATTGAATAGCCATCCCAGCTTAGCTTCATATAAGTAACATGCTATATCTGCATAATTGCAAGAACAAAGACTGAAGAAAATGTATTGTCATAAACCATACCAGCCAGCCAAAAAATAAAGTTACTCCATTGAAGACGTAGAGCTTAGAGTTCTTTTGACCAGCAACATCAAGGTACCTGCATGCACATATTGATGGAAGTCATTAATGTAGAATGTTTGGTTAAGAAAAGACAAGGAATGGCAGATGCTATTGCTCTTACCATCTTAAATTGACAAACGGAGTAGTACTCTCGGTAAAGAGTACCATAAAAATATATATCTGTGCTTGACCACTTAAAAGGGATTGAACAATTGCAAACATTGAGAGTCCGTGATGTAACACCTGGAGGAGCAAATAAAGATTCAAAGGCAATACATGGATTTCTGATACTTACAGCCACCCCAAGTTATACGATAGAATTATAGAAGAAAATACACTGCTTCATGATGCTTACATACTCCATTCCACCCAAGGCTGGGAAGTAATAGAAAATCATTGCCAAGTCTGCCAGAAAGTAGCCAGTGGAGATCTGTTTCACCATACAAATAACATTAGAGTTGAGAATAGAACATACATCCAGCATAATAAGGCTAGAGTTGAATTAGATGATGGAAGAACGAAGTAGTTCATATGCGAACCCTCAAAAAAAAAACCAAGACAACATTATCACATTTACGTCCTTCAGGGAAAGTGATAGCAGAGTAGTCTTGAGAAAGTAAAGCCGCGATTGTGTTACTACCCTAGGAAACCGAAAACAATAGGAATATGAATTAAGCATTTTGCTCTCCCTACAGTGTTAATAATCAAACTTGTCTAACATACTTCACAATTTGGATAAAACATTTGTTCAGCTAAAGTAATTTTTATTTAAGACGTCAAATCTGACTAACTAACAATATAGAGAAAACATGGCAGCCATTTGAATCTGTAAGCTAAAAGAAAGTCAATGACAGTAGTATTGGCATTAATACCCCGAGTATGGTGTCTGAAAAAGCTGATGTTCTATTGATCATTAAGTCATCTGGAGCACCATCACGGAAAAGATCTGATTCAATCAAGAGATACAGAGAAGCAGCCGCTACAAGGAGCGCATGAAAAGTGGAAAAACCTCTGAAAAGAAGAGAGATTCCTCAGTAAGACACTGACACCAACCAAGATACACAAGCTATATCACTAAAAATGGAAAAGAAAAGATCAAAAATTCACATGAAAGGTAAGATTACTACCTGTTGTTCCATTCAAGTTTCTTTTTGTCATCAAGTTTAATATATCCATTGAAGAACAAAGGGCTTATAGTACCTGTTAATTGATAAACCTTCAACAAAAGAAAATAACACCTTCAAAAGTAAGACGAAGAGCAATAACACATGCTAAAAGTTTGTTTCTGAACTACCATGACAAGAGAAACCTGAAAGCCAAAGAGGCATACGAGTTCTAACTCTTGGCAGAGCTAAGGATACCATTCTAAGAATTGTATATTAAAGCCTCCTCTTTTTCAATTAATAAGCAAAAAACAAATATTATCCAGCGAATGCATTGTAATAAGTACAGATAAATAACATTCGGCTATGTGGCGCGGAGTCTCCAAAACAGTTGTCGCAACCGTGTAGGATCCTCCAACAATACACTATTTTGGTGGATCCGACACGCACCCATCGATATTTTCGAGGAGTCCGAGCAACATAGCCATTAGGTTATACTTTAGGGAATCCAAAACATTCAGCTAACCGTCTACGCCTTCTATAGATTAAATATTATACCAGAAAGCCAAAAGTTGCAAGCAAGAATGTTTACAAGTTTCAATATCAAGTAGGCCATATTTCACTTAATGCATCACATTACACTTAAAAAGGGTCTAGAATCTAAGAGTCAAAAGGAGCAAAAATATGTGAATTTTAACATAAATAAATTCGAAATTTGCACACAATAAGAGCAAGTAATTGCCCAGTTTCACACCCCCCCTCCCCCCCCCCCCAAAAAAAAAGAACCATTATGTGGCTCCAAATATAAGAGGAGACAAAAAAGAAACTCACAATTCTACACATGACGATACCAGCAAAAACAGAAAAGAGCCAGTGTAATTCTTTACTTAGGGTAGCATGACCCGCTATGTTGATCAATCCAAGGGGCAACTGAATAACCAACATGTTTGCTACAATGAAAAACACGAAATATCAAAGACCCAAAACATCAAATCATTTAAAAAAAAAAAAACTTCAATCTTGAACGCAAAAGATTCAAAATACAAAAGCAAGATGGTAAAACCTGAACTGTTGCGCTATGAGTAAAATGCTTAAACCCCCCTTTACAGGAAAGCAAAAGACAACCAAGAATGTTTCAACCGAAAAAAGAAAGAAAAAAAAAGGACTGGATATTGAGATGGTGCGTAATGTTCAAACAAGTGAGAGAATTGACCAATGCTCACGTCCTGATGGCTTAGAGAATTACTTATTACTTAATAATAAGAATAAGGAAAGTTGAAATTTAGGAGTGAAAATTTAATGAGGGAGTTGGGGGGGCCATCCCATGACCATAATTTGATGCTTTGTGGCGTGGAAAGAGACAACTTTTGAAATTTGAGAGGACAGGAATGGGGTCCACGTCTATTCTGAGTTTTATCCCATTTGTACATCACATGAACCGACAGCTCGTCGTTTCTTAGCACACAGGCCACAGCCACTAGTTTTCTTTCTTCTCTTTATTATAAAAACGGAAAAGGGCCTAAATTGCCCCTCAACTATTATATTTGGTCTAAAATTGCGCCCATCAACCTTTGGAGCTAAAAATATCTTTTCAGTTAATTTTTCGGCTCACAACTGCTCTTCTTACTAACAACCCAGATCCGATTATTAATTTTAAGTGACGTGACATTAAACTATTGGCTAATTTAAAACCCACCCAAATTATGTCCAACCCACCCATTCTACTCGACCCATCATCCAAAGTTAGTCAATATTTTCTAAACCCAAAAGCCCCTCCTCATAAAATACAACTGACTCCCTCCTCCTCTCTAAATTAGGGTTCCCCCAATTCTTGTTGCTCCTCGTAAATCACATGGCTGCTCTCTGCTATATCTCTTCCAAGATTCAAGTTGAAGATCAAATATAAAGTCCTATCTTTGTTCAAGTAAGTTTTACTGTTTTTGTTGAATAAACATGGTTAGGGTTTTTAGAAATCTTTCACCTAGTGTTACTTTCGAGTTGTGGGGATTGTTTACTGCCTTTTGATGCTTTTGATGTCATTATTTATTAATTTTGAGGTTGCATATGGTCCCCCTTCACTTTTTGTTGTCTGTTTTTAAATTATTTTTTTGTGTGGATGATAGTAGTTTAGGGTTCAGATGGGCCTTGTTGTCTTCTCATTCTTTATTCTAAGTTTTTGTGTTTATTTTTTCATTTATGGCTGTGGTCCATTAAACTTTATTCTTGTTTGTACATTAGTGTATTAAATATTGATAGATTCCTTCTAACTTTCTGTTTATATAACTAATGGGTCACTTTCTACTTTCTTTTATGGATTGCATGTGACTTCAATGAAGAATGGTTGAAAAGGTGGACTTGGTCTTGAATTATGGGGGCATGTGGGTCTTGAACCCTCAAATAGTGTACATTAAAAAACTAAATCACTTGTTGCAAGCCTGTGATGTGGATTTGCTGTCTTATATAGACATTTGTTCAGAATACATTGAAAAATATGGGTTTAAAAGGTGGAACAACTTCTGATAACAGGACCTTCGGCTAGATACTTTCTAGTTGAAGGTGATTTAGGAATCAGAACACTACAACAACTCTTATCTAACAAGTTTAGTGTGCTTCAATTCTTTTCTATTGATGAGGGTGAAGAACATGTGCCAGCTCCTAGCATAAGCCACCATAATGAACCTTATAGTGTCACAGTGGATGTTGGCATCGATTGTGAGTCAAGTGAGGAAGAGGAAACATATGAACTTGACTCTAGTGATTATGATAGTGATCAATTGGATCTCTTCAGCAAGGAAATGACTAAAGAAGTTAATGACAAACTAGGCAACTATAAAGAGTTGAAATAGGGTATGAGTTTTAAAGATTTGGATGAAGATAAAAGAATTGTGGGGCTTTATGCAATTGCTGATAAAAAGGGCCTTAAAGTTTTAAAGAGTGACACCGGTAGAGTTAGTTATAAATGTGATGTTGGTTGTCCTTTTAGGTGCTTGATATCTAAGCATAATAAAGATCAAGGATTTAAAATTAAGACTTTGAAAACAAGACATAATTGCCAGCCATCATACATGAATAGAAGAGCTACTCCCCAAGCTTTAGCGCACTATTTCAAGAACAAAGTCCAAACTAATCCTAAATATAAAGTGAAAGACATGAGGGTGGACCTGGAGGATCAATTCAAACTTAATGTTAGCTATTCAAAGGTGAAAAGGGTAAAGAGGCTTGTGCTAGAGAAATTGGAGGGTAGCTTCATTGATGATTACAATAGGTTATAGGCATATGCTCAAGAGTTGAGGATAGTAACCCTGGTTCTGATGTGGTGATAAACATATCTAAAGATGCTTTGGCAGAAGGAAAAAGAAGGTTCCTTAGAATGTATATTTGTATCTTTCTTCTGTTAAATTTTTATAAATTGCTTGTAACTATTTTGCTAATGATCTTCTTTTATTGTAGGTAATAAATTTGTTGAAGAACCGTGAGGAGGAATGTATGAATTGAAAGGAGGAAATTAGCCCATATGCCATAGAGCTTTACAATGATTACAGAGTGATTGCAATAGAGTGCAAAGTTGTCTTTAATGGAGATTACGGATATGATGTGGTTGAAGGTAAAGATAAGCATACTGTGAACCTTGAATTAAAGAAGTGTACTTGCAGGGCCTGAAATTTGACAGGAATGCCATGTCCTCATGCCATCAAAGCTTTAATGCACGACAAACAAGATCCATTAAGCGAGGTGCATTGGTGGTATTCAAAGGAAGCTTATATGTTGGCATACATGCACAAGTTACAACCTGTGAGAGGTGAGAAATTTTGGAAAATTGAGCCAGAACATGCAATGGAGCCACCAGAAGTACATAAAATGGCGGGTAGACCAAAGGTAAAGAGAAAAAGAGAAAAGGATGAGGCCAGGAAGAGGGAGGGAGTCTTGTCACCTTCAAGAAAGGGACTTATAATGACATGTGGCTTCTGTGGTACAACAAGTCACAACAGAAGAAAATGCCCTTTGATAACGGTCCTTTTCACATATTTTCTTAACTTACATTTTTTTTAATTCATAATGTTTTCTAATGAACAACTCTTGTAGGCTAATGGTGAAGGAACTTTCCAAACAGTACAAGATGTGCCCTTAACGGTACCCCAAGTCAATCAAAATTCAGATTTTGTCTCCATGCCTACTCCGGGTGTGAGAATGACCTCTCCTGAACATTCAGTTAATTTGCTGGACTTCAAAACACACTTCAACAATCTGTTGCACCTTCAATATTAGCTGATGATGAATATGAAGGTGAAGGTGAAGATGAAGATGAAGAGCCAGATGTGATGCCTAAGGTGATATCTGAAGTTAAGACTAGGCTTCAACAAAGAAAGTTGCATCAAGGACCTACTGGTACCAGGAAGATTGCCTTCAAAGGAGATATAGATGGTGTCAATGTGCCTAATGATCTGCCCTATTCACCAAAGAAGCTCACATGGAAAGGCATATCAGCTATGTCCTCAAGCCAGTTGGTAGCAGAAAAGGAAAAAAAAATTGGAAAACTGAAGACTAAAAAGGCCAAGCATTAGAGTAGTTTCTTTAGTTTAATGACTTCTGTATAAACTTTTGTGTAATGACTTTTGTATAAATATTTGTGTAATGACTGTGAATCAGTTGATTCGATTATTGATTCAGACTTATTGTGAGTTTAATGACTCTATTTTAAACGTACTGTTGCAGCAAGGTCGCTTTAAGCAATGCTCTCCAGTTTCAGTTAATTTTGTTTAACTCTCGTACTGTCTACTTCAATTACTGCTAAACATGCGTAGACTTATTGGAACTTTATCTTTTACTCCAATAGATTGAATGGATTGAATTTGTATTTCACGTGACAAAAGAAAACCAAGAAACCAATATAAAGGAAGAAATGGTCATTAAAATGATCGAGAATGTTTAGCCTACTGGCTCAAAGAATCAGCTGTCATCTGAAGGCAAAACTAAAAATTCAACACCAAGAGCAGCCGCACCTGTGCCTGAGACACAATCTGATTCTCCATGAGTTACTAAAGATTATCTTTCTAGCCATTTTTATCACAGTATACCATCTTAATTCATGTTTAAAAGCTTACTTCACTCTCTCAGTGAACAATATGAATAATTGTAACCTGATACTAGTTCATGGTTTGAGTGGTTAGAGTGTACCAAAGATACTATTTTAAGCTAAACATTTTCTTTTGACCATGCTTCATGGAAATACATTGTACATGCAATAAAGAAAGTGCTCCAACCTATTCAATAGAATCTGTGAAGAGGTTATTGAAATAAAAACAATCTGCAGATTTCCAATCAAGTAGTATCATTAAAGTTGAACCAAAATATGCATATTTCCTTCATTCACCAACCAAAAGAGCTAATTGAAATAACAAAAATTTGCAGATTTCATTCATTTAACAACCAAAATAACCAGTTTAAATAACTAATATCTGCAAATTTCCATCATTGATACAACCAAGACATCATACCTAGACCTAACTAATTCACATAAAAGAAGTATAGAAATATGTAAATCTCTTGGAAGTTTTCATCAACAATCGCAAAATATTAGAGGCCACCAACTTCAGTACATCATTCTGCCCGCTAAAAAAATAGCAAAAATAGTCCATGACCATGTCGCAAGTCTTTTCCATCGCTTCAATTTCTGCTCCAAGTTTGAAAACCTCCAATGATACGTTATTCAAATCTGCAGCTTTACCACCAACCATATCATCCAACATCTTCCTCAGGTAGTTCCTTTCTTGACGAAGGGCATTCAACGAAAGTTTTTGCTTGTGGATAAATATTAACACATGAGGTGGAAGTTCTTCATCGCGCCATTCCCAAAAACGACAACCATTAGTCTCATAATGACGGCATTTACAAAATCTACGACCACCATTCGAAGGTGTTGTAGCAGTAAAATTGTTGGCAATCAATCCGCAATAACATGTACGGTTGTCACCTTGGTCACGAGAAGAAGCAGAAAAAGATTCAGATATTTTAAGCTAAAACGAGGTGGAAAAGTCCAAGAACTCTAATTGGAAGAACTTGGAAGGCAGCAAGAATTGGGGGAACCCTAATTTAGAGTGGAGGAGGGAGTCACTCGTATTTTATGAGGATGGGCTTTTGGGTTTAGAAAATATTGACTGACTTTGGGTAATGGGTCGGGTAAAATGGGTGGGTTGGACATAATATGGGTGGGTTTTAAATTAGCCAATAGTTTAAAGCTACGTCACTTAAAATTAATAACCGGATCTGAGCTGTTAGTAAGAAGGGCAGTTGTGAGCCCAAACATTGACGGGAAGGTTATTTTTAGCTCAAAAG